TTCATTATTTGGATGAATGATGAATGGGTGAAACAGCGAATCAAATCCTCTCGTTAATAAGCGAAGAGAGTACTGAGTTGTGACAGTATGTAGGCGAAATGTACTTCACATTCGAGCGGTTCTGTTGATGGTCGAAGGTTTAACAGTTGTATTTGTGTTTTGAAGCCTCCATTTTGGGATGTACGTGGTGTAATATTCATCTACTATCTTGAGAAAAAAAATCTGTCTGTTCTGGAGAATATTCCCTGGAAGTGCTCCTGGCGAACCTTTGATATATTTTAAGAATATTCCTTGGGAATATTCTTGGAATATCTTATAATATTCTTAGAATATCTAAGGTATATTCTATTAAGAATATTCCAGGAATAGAACCCGAGGAATATTCATAAAATATTCAGGATATTCTTAGTTTATTGTAGGAATATACAATAGAGAAACNTTGCGTTGAGTTCAAAAACTGGTTAACACTATCAGGGTTATATACATTAGGTTATGCATTCGATTAAGATCTTCTTATTTTAATACGTTATTATACGTTAAGATAATTCAAAATTCCATTGTATAGAATATTTCAAAATATACCGTGGGGATATATTCTAAGAATATACCATATGGTATATTCGATCGACAATATTCTTAGAATATTCACGGGAGACATAGACATTCTATGCACATTCTTTCGGGAATAATCCTGCCATATTCATTCAAGCATATACTATGAATATTCTAAAGGCATGTATATATTCCAAGAATATTCTATGAATATTTGGAATATATACGTTCGTTTTATGATATACAGGGAATATTCCATGAATATCTGGTGCTGTGTGGGAGGAAAATACCATCAACAATAAATATTATATTGAAGCGTTTGAAGGCCGAAATTGCGAAGAAACGATCGCATGTGGCGAAGAAAAAAATGTAATTCATCAAGACAACACACCGTGTCACAAGTTAATGAGAACAATGGCAAAAGTACGTGAATTGAACTTCGAATTGCTCCCACATCTTGAATATTCTGCTGATTTGGCTCCCAGCGACTACTGGCTATTCGCAGACCTCAGGAAAATGCTCACCGGTGGGAAATTTCGCTCGAATGTAGGAGCTATTGCTGAAACTGAGACCTATTTTGAGGCATAAGATAAATCGTTCCACAAAACTGACGTTGAAATGTTGGAGCGGCGCCAAAATATTTTTGTGGCTCTTGATGAAGATTGCGTTGATGAATGAAGCCAATTTTGAACGGTCTGTGGTTTTTCAGCCCATGTTGAGTCAATAAAATTAAAACTGTAGAGAGGCTCCTCAAACAATTGTGTTTTTCCCAATGAAACCTTATTAAGAACCAAGATTCATTTCCCAGAAGATTACATTAGGTTTAGTGGGGTTGCGATTAAAAAACTGACATTCGGATATTTTATGCGCAATTTTGTTAATTTAATTATAGAAAATGCCTCAACTGAAAATTACATAGAAGAAAAAGTGTCAGACAAAGATTGGCAAGCACACCTTGGCCAGATATAAAAACGCGTACCAATTAATTCAAGGAGCTTCGAATATCCGCCAAGCTGCCAAAGAAGTTGGTGTTTCTGTCACGACATTACAACGTTATGATGAAAGAGGAAGGGCTGCTGAACCTAAAGCGTAACTGCGTTCAATTCCAAACTAGGCTGTGAATGAAGTGTTTTCCGAGTAGCAAGAAGAATAGTATTGAAAGCCTATTACATAAAATGTGTGCTATTATTTCACGGTCCTCCATCACAATATTACCTAGCCTATCAGATGGCAATGAAGAATAATATCAAAATACCACCTAGTTGGGAAGCGAAAAACTTAGCACGTATTGACGTTCAGATGTTTTTGCCAACGGCATCCCAATCTAAGTCTTTGAAACCCGGAGTCTTGCAGCTTTGCAAGGGCAACGGGTTTCAATGAAGAGACTGTCAAAATATTTTTCGACAATTTAGAAAAAGCAATCCAGCGTAGTACAACTTTTGCATATGGAATTTGGATATACAACTTAGATGAAACCGAAACGACCACGATTCAGAAACCCTGGAGAGTTATTGGGCCGAAAGGACAGGAGGACTTCTACGAAGTCGCCAGCGGTGAAAAGGGAACATTATGCAAAACTTGCTGCATTATCATATAGTGTTGGTCGTCAAGCATTGCCACCTACCATTATTTTCCTTCGGAAAGAGTGAATAACAGAATGACTTTTGAGACACCACCTGGACCTCTGATCCTGGCAACATCTTTGAGTAAGTCAGTTGTTTGTTGAGAAGTGATGAAGCATTACAGTAAGTACAGCCACAATACGACGGACAATCCCAGTTTTTCAATAATGGGCAACCGTCAATCCTACTTGAGTATGGAAGCGCTTGACTTGGCAAAAAATCCAGGGTTACTGCACTAACACTTCATCTTCTCACACCAGCAAGAATTCTGCCCTTGGATGTGTGTGGAAACTCGACAAAGAAATCCGTACTATCTCAAACGTTGAGTGATCTAATCCTCATAGGTAGGCGTTATTCAGGTCATGTCCTATCGTTGTGATAGGACATGTGGAATAAGGACATGTGGAATAAGGGTCTCCAGCACGTGTTCTTGTTGCACGGTCTTGATCGAAGAATCGTCGTACCCACGTGGAAGACATCGGTCACGTAGTGTCCCTTGGCCTCCACGTACCATGACGGCAAATAGCTGTTACTGTTCCTTTCATGGAAGATACCATATGACGATACCGTTATCGAATTGATTTTTCAAGTCGAATCCAAACTCCAAAGCCCGGATGATCTTTGTGCAACCGTCGTGGCTGTGATAGAAATATGTCAGATGCGATATGAGAATAACGGGAGGTTCTCAAAACATTACTACTTCCTCCCACAGTTCGACCTGGTCATTAGTTTTCGACAAAGTCAGCCCCTCAAATCTGTCCTTGGAGATGAGTACCACTAGTGCTTTCCTGACCGTGTGTACTTCCTCAGTATTGTGTGTCAGCGTTGGGAAAGGCTGGATATTATCAGTAATGTGATCTCAAGCACGATATATGCACGAATTTGGTGGCCCCCCAAAGATTTCAGTTATATATGTACTGACAAAATCGGTCCTTCTGGTTACATATCCCATTCTTTCGATCGCATTTCCTTCCACCCATCCCTCAAATCATTACTCGTAGTAGAGTCAACGAAAGGTTTTCCATATTCAGTTTTACATTCAACCAACTTAATTTACTCCATTATAAAATCTTCCCCATCTTGCTTTCTACCCTCTACCCATTCCATCCGCATGCTAGTAAACAATTTTTAAATCTAAGTCGGACCGAATAGGGTGCCCGTGGTGACGATAAACGCTTGATCGTTCTCGGCATTCTTATCTACTCTCTGTCTTCCGTCCTAATGTTGGGAGGTAAATAGTCAAACTGCCTCACAAAACAACACATTCGAACTATAACCGGGGTGCACTTCCTTCTCCCGTTTGACGATATGTGTTTAATTAAATAACCTAGCAATCGGTTTGCAGACTTAGCTATATTTTTAATATGTGTAGAAAAAGACAGTAGATAGTCATAAGTAATTCCCAAACCCTTTACCTTGGAACCTCGGATTAAGGGCCTCTTCATTAATTTTGTACTCGAACATAACAGGTTCTTTTAATCGCGTAATAGACAAAATACTATATTCTTCAATATTAAAATACAGTTTATTTTCATGCTACTTAAATATTATTGCATCAGCGAAAAAAGCACCTTCAGTATAATTAGGTAGGTCATTAATGAAGAGAGCGAACAGGGGCCCCAAATTAGGGCCCTGGGGTTAACTAGTAAAATTGATGAGTGAGATATGAAAAAAAAAAATGTCTCTCCAATATTTATTATTCTAGTACCATTCACAGATTCAGACCTCCATAATCTCCTCAAGAATAGATTGAAGAGTATTTGTTCTTCAGTATATGATGAAATTTCCATATTCGTCTTGAAAATATGTCTTCTTGCTTTGATAAAACCGCTATTTCATTCAGTATAAACTTGTCTTTCAATACATATTCATTTTCAAATGAAATGAAAATGGGTAAGAAAGTCCCGATCTACAAAAAGAATAGTCCTCATTCTCTGGAAAACTATTAGCTTGTAACAATCTTATGATTTTTTTGGAGAAAAATGATTTCATTTTCTTGAGGAATTTATTTGATTCCTATAAAAAATGTGTTTGTCGGGAAGGAAAATCGAGTTGATTCGTTACTTTAACATAATTTTTACAATCACACATACTCATTTGAAAAATTGTTATAAGAATACCTGTTAGGATTAAATACCTGAATATAAGTTATGTTTCTGTAGACATTGATGGGTAGCTAATCCATTATTCATTCAACATGAAACCATTGGCGGAAAATCGGGATAGTGTTCCATCAATCCATCGATTGTTTCGTTTGAGAGATGTGAGGCAGTCCTAATGCACTTTATAGGAGAATGCACTCCCATCGCGTTCGTTTACTAAAACGAATCCTCCCACGTGAAACTCTGTTTTCGGTTCAGATGATTTGGGATAAACATATTTTTGTAGATACATCGTGAAAAAAACGAAAATGTTTCTAGGTTATTGAAACGGTGTATGTATATATGTTTCATCTGTTATTTATTATACAGCATAGTGAAAATTTGTAGACATTTAGACATCATAACATCTGAAAAAACTGAAATTGCGAAAAACTTATGTTTTGATATATACATAGATGTGCTATAAATGATCGATTTCGAAATTTCATGCAGCCCTTTAGCTCACGACAGGTTTATCAAAATTTTGACTGAAACGGCTGTGCTTATATTTCCACAGAACATTTTGTTTAATGAATGTTGACTATTCATGAAATGTCTGATTGCTGGAATTCCAAAATGCTGAGTTTTGAAATACAGATTTATTTATTTGTGTAACATCAACAGTGTATTGAGGAATAATGAGTAATTTCATTTGAATAACAAAGCGTTATTTTGTTTCAGGGTAACATTTGGCAGCAGTTGCTGTCATTCCATTTCATCTTAGAAATAGTCAACACCATCCCATTTACATTAACAGTAAGTATCCTTTTATCTTTTGTTTCTGCGAAGGTTCTATGAAAAGGTAATTTGGAAGTATTTCTCAGTTGATCAAATTTATTTTCCACATAGTCCTGATTTATATTCCTCATCAATATGTAGGAGTGTCCTTCACTATGTAGGTTTTCTCAAAGTTGCAGAAATGTCGAAATTACAGAAATTCCACTCCTCAATGAATCTCATTTGTCCAGTCGTGTTTTTTTATATAATTTGCTGAAGAATATTTTCATGTCTATCAGCAAATCAACTATAAAATCTGTTTTTCCATTAACAGATTCCGAAGAAAGGTTTATTGAAATCTTTGACATCGTCAAATCCGTTTGAATTCAAAATATCAAACACTTTATCCATTTTTTCAATGAATGTAGCCGTCCCTATTGCTGCTGATGGTATGTGATTGAAACTGGCATCAGTATTCATCGCTGTAGCTACCGAATGACTGAAAACTTGACTGGCTAATTTAACCTTCATCCTTTGAAAGTTAGTTGGAAATTAATGAGAATCAGAAAGTTTTGGTGCTAGTCTATATTGCTTTTCCTTATCCAAGTTGTGAAGTTGTTCAAGATGACAAATTTAAAAAAATCATCGAAAAACTGGTTTCTGCTACATTTCAGCAGATGAGGGGTATCAAAAAAGTAAAATATTTTTTTCTCATCAACAAAGAAATATGACTGCTCTACAGTCAGTTCGAGAACTTTTCTGGTGAGTTTATAAAAATTAGAACCTAAATCTGTAATGATAACCCTAACTCTTAATTCGGTTTTTGACAATTGCCTAATAAGAGACAATAAGAGACAAAAAAGAGGTAGTTTATATAGCAACGTTTATTCCGTTTGGTTTCGAATTTTTTTCTGAAATAACTTTTTATATTATTGGGTTGGTATAAATCAAAACGTCAGTATAAAATACAAATTTCTTAGTAAATTGATGGATGTAGCGTGGTAGGAGATCATGATGACGAGATAAATGAAAATTCCTATGTTTTTTACCACTTTTAATTGTAAGTAACGTTACTGCAGTTTCGTCCTATCAAGTGGTCCAACCAAAAGTATGCACCTTGCTTTTCTCCTTTTTTTGTAACTTAATGCAAAAATGCTCGGACAGGTCAATTTTGCTTTTGAGGGGGACACATTTAGGATGTATTTTTCTACCTGTGCATTCAACCCCCTAGCGAGGGTGAGTAACAACCCTAAAATTTTAAATGGAAAGTGGGGTCGAATGATATATCATTTGAAAGGGCACAAAATTCTCTTTCCAATGATACCTGATTTGTTGTATTTACTTGAATAGTTATAAAAAAAGCAAGAACATTTACTCGATATTTTTGGTGTTAATGAAAATGCGAAAAAAACGGCATTTTTATCACTACTACATTCACTATTCAATTTCTCTCGTGCGTTTTTTGGTTCAAAAAACAACAGCAGATAAGTGTACAAAAAGAATGTATTATCAACATTATCATTATCAACAATAGTTGTGCTAGACTTACTGCTCGCCTCTTTAAACAGTCATCCCGGGAAAAATGTGAATGATTCGTACGTTGCCAAGTTAGTCCAAAAGTTTGTCGATACTGGATCTGTCTGTAATGTGGAACACCAGCCACGGAAACCGATCATTGAGTGAAATACAACAAATTAGGTATCATTGGAAAGATAATTTTGTGCCCTTCCAAATGATATATCACTCGACCCCACTTTCTATTCAAAATTTTAGGGTTGTTACTCACCCTCGCTAGGGGGTTGAAGGCACAGGTAGAAAAATACATCTAACATGTTTCCACCTCAAAAACAAAATTGACCTGTTCGAGCATTTTTGCGTTAAGTTACAAAAAAAGGTGGAAAGCAAGGTGCATACTTTTCGTTGGACCACTCTGAATATGGACATATTCAAACTAATACAATAAACACTTTATTACGTCCTATATGGACATTCTCAAACTGATATAATAAACTCTTTGTATTAGTTTGAGAATGACCATATAGAACAAAACTGCAGTAACGTTAGTTACAATCAAAAGTGGTAAAAAACAGACATTTTGATTTCTCTTTTCATTAGATTTCTTACTGGGTTGCCCAGTTTGCTAGTTGTGAAGTGTGCCAATCAAATGAAATTCTATTTTTTTTTGTTATCGATGACAGAATGTGAGAATAGACATATTTCCTATTTATAGTAGATTATTTGGAATATATAAATGGAAAGTAGGCTCCAAAAGAAGTTATTTTTATATAAATTTGATACTTTGGTTTTTGCAGAGATTTCAGTGGAAGTAATTTTTTTTCTACAGATACATATTAGTCAAATCAAAAACTTGATGTGGTTCTATAATTATTTTCCTTTGTGGATTTCCAGGGTCACTTCGATTGTTTTGTCATTTTATATCATTCCCTTTGAGGCTTGTGAAGTATTGTGAAGTATTTTTTTTCTCGATCAGAATATTGCGTTCTGATACATAATTTTGGAGTTGAACTGGTTTCAACTTTAATAAGATATTTTTGTTTTTCAGCTTTTCTACCCACCGTTACGGAATCTCTTCATTCCAGTTTTTCTGAACTGTTGGCTGGCAAAGCACTCTCTGGAAAATATGTTTGTAAGTATTGGAACTACGGAATTTCCATTTTGAAAGTCACGATAAAATGATAAAAAAAAATTTTCAAACGCTTACACCACCAGGTTTTGAGATCAATGAAAAGTACCCATTACCAAGATTGAAATATTTCATCTTCATATACGTTCGTTCAAAATTTTAATAATTTCATATGTGAAATCGACTGTTTATTTATATACCATTCAGTGCGTGATATTTATATAGGGTGTTGAAATATTCAAATGACGTATTCCTGAGATAATTTTTAGAAAAAAAGTCTATATGAACTTATTCCGAAAATGCTTCGTTTCGGAGATACGGGGTGTTGAAATTGAATTTCTTTGTTCGCTTTTTGAAAATAACTCTTGCAAAAAAATTAGTTATTTTTACAAAATTCGGTAACCGGGTTTTTTTTGACGTGGAAAATCATGATTTCATATTGATTTTCATGTAACATCTAGAGGGCGCTGCGTACGTTGTCATTATTCATTTCAAATTGCCCTCTTTTAACAGTAAACTTTTGGTGCTTTTTATGAAAAAACCTAATTCCCACACCTTTTCCAAGTGAAAATGGTACATCTCAACAACGCTAGAGGTGATCGTTTTCGAGATATTTACAATTTTCTTCATCGATGCATATTACTTCATAGCTAAATTTGATTCCAATGATTTTTGTCACACTCCGCTTGCAAATTAAGTTAATTGAATCGAGTATGCTATGGAAGTTTGTTTATAAAAAAAGGAGTTCGCTGTCACTGATAAGATAATGTGAGTGACTTCTTTCATGATAGCAAGTTCGGCAACACCTGATTCATTGGTTTCTCAGAGGCAACAATTTCTTTTCTGTTCATAAAGACGGGTATCTATACTTTTTTTCGTGATTCCAAAATAGACTGGCCCGCAGCTACAAAGAATCCTGTATATCCCGGGTATTGCTGAAGGCTCTTCGTATAATTTCAATATAGAAATCATCATGAACTCATTTGAATAGCAGATAGAAGTATATTATATCTTTTTATCATGTTATTGAGGGCATTTTCATTCCATTAATGACGAGGAGGTAATTAAGATAATTGACGAGGCAATTTGTATGGAAAGGTAAGGTATGATTTAGTAGGACAGTTCTAAAAATTATTTCCGATGACAAAAAGCTGTAAATTAACAAGTTCATGAAATAATTTACCATTCGTCTAGCTAGACAATGAGACATGAAATCAATATCTAACTATCTTGTCTGAATATTTGGAGGAAAGTAAATTTTTCTGACGAAAACTGGAGAATTTACACTTTTTTTTGTGGATCTCTTCCGATCCCTTATGTCACGATTCGTGAAAAACCCATGATGTAAATATGCAATGCAAGAAGCGTCTGCTCACACATATTTGCTGTAAAATTTGAATACGTTATGCAAATACTTATACCTTTCACCTACATCCTGTCGAAAACAGACATGTCATGAAATATCTTTTCGACTAATAGGATTTTAAAGTATATTTTTCGACCCAGAGTAATTTTTCCAGTAGTGGATATGCCTGATTGAATATTCTGCGTAGTTGAAGGATCAGTTTTGTCTGCCTAACGGAGGAACGGTGAACATGAAAGTAACACAGTATTATACAAGAGGGAAATGAAGTGTGTTTTAATTTCTTATAATACACTATCATTAGAAGATTAAATATCCATCACCGTGATATACAGTCATCTGACAGAAAGTATCCACCCACCTTCAATTTTTTAAAAGGTGAAACTGTCATCTCTGATGTAGAATAAATAAATGCAAAATTAGCACTGCTCTCACATAGGAAATGCAAAAATTCAGGATGCACTTTCCACTAACAAAGTTGGTGTCATTGGTGGATGAACTAATCTAATTCTCAACTCAAAATTACACGAGGTACAAATTTCACTTTCAATCACAAATCTATGATTACTTGGATATGAATTGGCGGAATGAATCGAGCATGTTGGCAAATATGTTTGGTCGCGGCATTTTTTATTTTAGACATAATGGTTCAAGCTAACAGCTAAAATCCAATTCTGTTATTCAGAAAAAACTTTACAAAATTCACAATTTCAACACTGACACAAGCGGATGATTCAATTGCAACAACAGCCATAGAAAAAGCAAATCTACTAGCTGAACACTTTGCTTCCCACTCCATAGTAGATTTTCTACCTACTATTTCCACACTAGAATCCACAATGCCGAAAGCGACAGCGTCTAGTAAGGCGAATTTTGAAACAGCTCAATATCAACAAGGCGCCTGGTCCTGATGAAGTGGTCATCATGGTACTTAAAAATTGCGCAAATGAACTTGAACCAGTATTTTGCAGACTTTACAACCTGTCTTACAAGAAAGGGAATTTTTCTTCTTGTTGGAAGATTAATCGCGTCTAGCCTATTCCCAAAAAGGACAAGAAAAATCTTCCAAATAACTATAGACCAGCTGCTTTGCTATCAGTAATATCAAAAATCATAGAGAGAGTCGTAAACTACCATATCCTCGAATATTTGGAAAGCTTCAACATATTAAGCAATCATCAATATGGCTTTCGGAAACAAAAAACAACAGGCGACTTTCTATCGTATGTCACCCATATTTGGAATAACGCAATCGAGAAACATGGAGAATCAAGAGCTGTTGCGCTTGATATTTCTAAGGCCTTTGACCGTGTGTGGCATGAGGATTTGCTGGCCAAACTTCGATAATATAGCTTGTTGGATCATTTCTGTGTATGGCTCTTCAGCTTTCTGAAAAAACATTCCCTGCAAGTAGCTGTCGATGGGTATACTTCCCCCATTAGCAAAAAAGCAGTAAGTGACAAATTGTGACTTTTGGAGGTATATACATCAATGGATTCGTCTTAACAAGATCTATCTATTCAGCTTAGGAGAAACGCAGTAAAAGATTTCCAAAAGAGATTTTTTTGTGAATGAAATGCAGTATCTATAGCTGATAAACTAGACAACATTTTGGGAAAACGCAGTATCATATGATTGCTAAGCAGAAATGTAGTAACTACATGAAGTTACTGCACTTTTGCTAAGCAGAGGTCAGATACTGCACTTTAGCTAAGCATTACAATAAAAACCACCTGTTTGTTATCAGTATATACATCAGTTGATTTTTGAAGGTTTGGTGTTTGTTGATTGTTTTTGTTAATGGTGAAAGTGGGAAATGTGTTTAGTTGTTGTTAAATTAATATTGGGTTAGTGAAATTACTTCAACATGTTTAGGAAAAGAACTTGTGATATTATGAATACACTAAAAGACAAGGAAATTGAGGGAGTGAAACAAAATGATAAAGAACAATGCAAAACTCAAAATGTTCGTAGGAAGTGTACCGATGTCAAGTGAGGAAAGTGTATGCTATCTTGCAGTGCGCAAGGCTTATTGAATTGATTGAGACCTCAAAGAAATGAGCGGATCAATATTTTTACAGACAGCAAGAGCGCACTAGGGGCTCTGACGAACCCGAAGGTGACATCAAAACTGGTCTGGGAATGCCATGAAGAACTGAATGAACTTGCAAACAGGAACAAATTCACTTTGTACTGGGTGCTAGACGCGGATCATCAACTTCATATATAGGTCCTGAACCAGCTCTGGGGGTACCAAAATCATTGGTATGAAACCAGATTAGGACATGGACTAATAAGAAGCACACAGAGTACTGGAAAAAAGTACCTGGCAACAAACACAGTAGAACCTCCATTAGGGAACTGTCCGAGAAAAGAACTGAAGAACTACTTTAATATAGTAGAGATCGGCTCAGAGTAATTACAGGGTTACTAACCGGTCATTGTCCGCTTAGAGGACACCTGAATAAAATGGGGCTCTACAACGGAGATCTCACCTGCAGATTGTGCAACGAAGGGATAGAAACAGCTCTACATATCTTATGCGAATGTGAGGCACTGAATCACAGGAGGCAGGCAATATATGGACGTACGAAATTACGTCCAGAAGAATATGACGAACATCCAATACGGAACCAGTACAAGGAACGAGACCGGATGGAATGGGTGTCATGAGAAGATGGGAGAATAAACTCTATAAGCCCAAGATGCTGCAGTGTTTTGTGGAGACTTGGACTAAATTTTAATGAGTGTAGATAGCTTCCACCACAATGTGGAGCAATCGCTCAAAAAAGCAGGAAAAGTGTATAACTTCCAGGATTTTGTCGTAGCAGTGAGAAATACGAGGAAAGAAGTAGATGTTAGAGAAATTACACTTTCTGAAATCAAGTCAAATTATTTTATTTCTAAATTCAAATTTCAGGTTGAAACAAAACGACAATGCTACACTCTACAATACAAGACATCTTTCGTAGAAGACCAAGAGCCTGGGAAAGAACTTGACTTCTTGATGAACAAAGTTTTAAAAAAAAAGTGGACATTTTGAGATTCCTGAAGTCATGAACAAACAGCAAGGATTCCCCAAGGACAAAAGCGACAACATTCGGAGGGAGTTAGGATGTTATACCAGACAATCGAAAATTATTTCTGGAAACGTTGTCAGTGAGGGAATACGAGGCTTGAGGACACAAGTTATTGAAGTGTTTTGTACTTTTTGGGCTGACCAAAATATAAAATGTTAAAATATATTTCTCAATTCTCAATTTTTTTACTTAATATGTGGAGTTTTATTTAGTTCCTTACTGTGTTTTCATTAGGTAAATTCAGTTTGAAAAAAACCCCGATGCTTAGCAAAAATGTAGTATGAGCAGCCTACTGCATTCTTCTAAGGCGACCATAATTTTCAGAATCAAGAATACTTACCCGAAATGCAGTAACTGATTTTTGTTATAGTAAATGAAACATAAAGATAAAATTATTGGTAATTATATTTAACAATGTAAAACAAACAACAGCATCAATTACAAATTCATACAAAAACTACAAGCTTCCAACTTCACAGGTATTTTTCTCGATTAATAGTATGATGCAGACACTGCACTTCTGCTAAGGAGGGCAGTATGTGTCTCGAATACTTTCACTA